ATCCAGATATCAAAAGCCCAGCAGGAAATTACACGTATCATTGATTCTGGGGACCAGCCCTGAGTGTGCAGAGTATGTAGGGGAAATCAGCCCTAAAGTACACTCTTAAGAAGTACCTTCTTCTTTGACAAATAGCATACTGCCCACCAGGCAGTATGAGCCACGTTAATGGCGGGGGGGGGGGGGGGGAGAGAGAGAGAGAGAGGGAGGGGGGGGGTGTGGGTGGGTGTGTGTGTGTGTGTGTGTTGGGGGGATGTGGCATGAAAGAAATGGGGGTTGGGAGTCTCACTCCTGGTGGAGAAGGGAGAGCATAGAAAGAGAATACCCAGTGGGGAGTGGTGCTTGGGGGCGGGGGGAGAGGACTGCAGGAAGAGGAAGTCAGTTTGTCATAGCAGAACCCTTTTGACACCATCTTTTTTGTTAATGACTAAGCCTGCATGACTGTGCACCGTAGCAGCCCTTGGAGTGTTGCCAGAATGACGGCCTCTCCCCTTTGCTTTCCAGTCTTGCGTTGTTATTTGAGCCGCTGATGAAGATGAGGCTCTGCCCCAAGCGCCCTCCCTCTGCCTGCCCCCTTCAGCTACATCAGTGCTTGCTTAGCAGTGCACTTAGCAGGGCACATCAGTTCTTCCTTACAGACCTGTGTGTTGTGCCTACAGATCACCAACAAGAGAGAGATGTCAATACCTAGGACAGGGCCAGGCACATAGCAAGTGCTGGTGAAGTATTGGCTGAGTAGTGCTGCAGGGTGACATGTAGAATCTGTCTCTCCCTGAGGACGTGTTGACCAGTCCCCTGGCCTGTGTGTCTGAGCCGCAGTGATGAGAGCTCTAAAGGCCTCCAGGCAGGATAAGTCCATCTGGAAGCTCAGGGAAAGTACCTGCCTGGACTGGGATAAATAGTATTCCTCCCGGAATTCATGTGTACCTGGTACCTCAGCATGTCACTTCATTTGGAATTGCCGTTCATGATGATTCTGTCATCAGAGATCTTACTTCTGAGGTCAGGAAGGATAAGGAGCCCTTGACACACCAGGTCTACTGTCTGTAGGAACGTGTGTGCGTTAAAAAGTCCAGTAAGCTGTGTGTATGTAAGAGAAATATCAGGTGGCCCTATATGAATCTTTTATATTTCTAAAACACTTTTTAAAAGCACTACCACATCTGTGATCTTATTTTATTTGCATGCTTTTAAAAAATTATCCGGAGCTCTCTTTGTGTAGATGGGAAAACCGAGGCTCTACTAGGGTCTCCTAGTTTGGTCAGGATTATGAGTCTCCGAAGTGCTATCTAGCCGCCTCCCTGGACGGCATAGATGGTAAGAATGGGGAGAATTTTCAGAACCTAGCCATGGCCCATGCTAAACATGTCTGTGCCTCACCTCTGGGCAGCCTTGGGGACAGTCTGCCTTATAGGCCTGTGTGTTAGGCGGAAGCTTTCACAGGTGTCACTTGATAGCTGTGGGTGGCAAGCAGAGCTGTGCAATGCCCCAGGCCTAGCATTGTGTAAATGAAACGTCCCCATTGGCCCATCTCCATAGCTGGCCTCTGAGTTCCATGTTTACCAAACGCTGCTGATGCCTCACCCCAAACACAGCTGAAGTCCAGGAGGGCTTCCTGTGTCCAAAGCCCACTCCCCTCATCCTGCCCTCTGAACTCACCAAGGAGCAGGCGTTGACCAGTCCCCTGGCATCTGTGTGTGAGCCACAGGGATGAGAGCTCTGAAGGCCTCCAGCAGGATGCGTCTACCTGGAAGCTCTGGGAAATTACCTGACCGTAGTGAGCTAAATGGTGTTTCTCCACAAATTCATGTATACCTAGCACCTCAGAATGTGACTTCATTTGGGAGTAGGTTCTTTATGGATATAACTCGTCAGGCATCTTGAGAGAAAATCCTCCTGGATTTGGGGTAGCCTTTAAATCCAGTGATTGATGCCCTTATAAGGAGAGTAGAGGACAGGGGGAAGAAGAATCTATGAAAATGGAGGCAGTGATGCTGCCATAAGCCAAGGGATCCTAGGAGCCACCAGAAGCTGGAAGAGGTAAGGAAGGGTTCCTGCCACACCTTGGTTTCAGACTTCTGGCCTCCAGAACCCAGAGAGAATATATGTCTGTTGTTTTAATTCACTAAGTTTGGTAAGTTGTTATGGCAGCCACAGGACACATACTGGCTGTCTGGCAGAAGGTGGAGCTATGGGGCCGGTTCTGGAGCCAGGCTGTCAGAGGTCCTCTGCTGCCCTCACCTCTCTTTCCAGCAGGGCTGGGAGAACACTGTGGAAAGCCAGGCTAAGGTGCAAGGAAGACCAGGGCTTGACTTCCCTGTTGTCACTGTAATCTTGGTGGAGACTTCTGTGCCCTCTCACCATTGTTACTACTACCTTTTTTTAGTTCCCACGATATGCCAGGCACCGTGCAAGTCTTTACATCATTTCATTCAGTCCTTGTAAGGACACTATTCAGTGAGTTGCTTTATCCCTAGTTTTTCGTTTGAGATTCATTAACTTGCTCAAGGTTCCACAGCTGGCAAGTGGCAGAGCCAGACTTTGAACTTGTCCCAGCTGAGAGCCAGCACACTATGCCTCTGTGACTTCCCATGACGTATTAATAATCATGGCAGCTAATGGTTGATCTAGCAAGAAAAGAGCCTGTAATCATCCCCAGGGGCTTCCCGGAGCCTCCTTCTTATTCCTACCACTGTTTGCCTGCCTCCTCCCTGTGAACCAGCCATATCACATGATCCCTGTTCCTTGGATGGCCTGTCAGGTTACACATCAGGTGGTCTTTCTCTGGTAGCCGGTCCCTGTCCCTTTCCACCTGACAAACTCTTGCTCAGCCCACGTGGCCCAGTTTAAATGTGCTCTGTGCATTCTATCATTCAGCACTTCATGTGGATCATAAATCCCACTGGGGGGTGTGTGTGTGTGTCTTTCCCCAGTTGGAGTGGGAGTGCCTTTGACACGAGACTGGGTCTTTCCATTTTGGCATCTTGTATCTTCCCCAGCATCTCTGGCTCTCCAAAGCCCCCAATAAATGTTTGAATAAGTGAAACATGCAGAAGACATGAAGATCATTAAGTAACAAATACTCGGCAGAAAGGGCTGTTAATTTTTTAAAAAGAAGAAGAAAAAAGAACATCAGATATTCTAAGACAAGTATTTGTAGAGGGAATCACTAAAAGCTTTGAGTTTTGAAAGCAAATATTTAATTTAGGCTCCCCCTTCTGTATGCCTACAAATGGCACTAAATTCAGTATAATGCTCAATCTACTTTTTGAGATTTACTATGAGACTCATGGACTTTAAGGAAAAAAATGTAGTTCATTTTAAATGCCTACTTTTTACATAGTCATTCTTTTAACACAGGCAATTGCAGTGACAAAGGTAATGACTTCCTAGCTAGCCATATTCAAAAGAAATGTCAAACATTTAAATTTATAAAGCTGTCTGTGAAATGTGAAATGTGATGCCCCCATTCAAATGGCCCTCCTGATCTTGCCCGGCACCCTTTCCCTCTTGGCTGCTGGTACCTTCCTCTCATTGCCAAGGACAAGCCACATCTGAGTGTCTGTATCCCATTCCCCACCACTTAGAACTCTTGAATCCTGCAGGGAGGCTGACCGGGAAGGACAGAGGATCCTATATTTGGCTTCAGGATCCTGGATGCCCAGGGCTCAGAGCTCCTATTAGTGCTATTTCACAATTACTACAGGTTTTGGTTCTTGTTTTAACAGTGATGATGACGATGGTGATTTTCGTGTCTTGTCCATGAATCACGCAATGTTATTCCGGGGGATACATACCCTGATTCCAAAAAACTCATCTAAAAGTACAGATTTTGGAACATGACCTACATGTTTACAGTGCCATGTGAGACTATACTTTTTCTCAATCAGGCTCATGGACTTTTTTCCTTTTTCACTTATTTACTGCTTTAGTCCTCAAAACATGGATTCCTTTTTTTTTTTTTTTTTTTTTTTTTTTTTTTTTTTTTTTTTTTTTTT